ACACACACACACACACACACACACACACACACACACACACGCACGCGCATACTCTCTCTCTTTTTCTCGCACACACCCACAGGGATCTCCAAGACTCTGGCACAAGGTCTGCAAGGTCAAACTACTTTCATAAGACTAATATGTTACTTGCGTTTTCACCATGTTGACACTGACACTAATGAAAATAATATCATCATTTTCATAATAATAAAACATCTGGTGTCTTGGTATATATCAGCTCAATGGCCTCAAACTGTAATACTACTCATTATATTTGTCACAGTAGAAATAATTAACAGTTTCACCTCAGAATATCACTGATGAAATAAAAATTATTAATTTTATCAAGTCCTAATTCTTGAGTACTGTCTTTTTAATATTCTTGTGACAAAATGAAAATTAAGCTAAAAGTATTTGTACTACATACTAATGAATGTAGGTTGTATCTGTCAAGGAACATCATTTTTACATAAAGAAAACTATGGTTATTAAAGTTTGACTATTTGATGAACATTTATTTTTTTAATACAAAAGATGTGAGCCTGTCATTTCAGAAAAGGGAAGGGAGGAAGAGAGGGAGGGAGGGTGGGAGGGAGGAAAATATTTCTTATAAAATACAAGAATTAAAACAGGCAAGCAACATTTAGAACTTTAGTAAACTCATTATGTGCTACCACATTGAAGGCTTCTAAATACTCAGATGGTCTAATGAGATCAGTGCAGTGATATTAACAAATGTACAAGATTTGTATAACTCATTGAAACAATAAGTTCCGAATTACCCACGCATCATGTTACAGAATCATTCATGGGTAAACGATCATTCAAAGTGCAAGAGATCAAGTGGTTTTAATGTAACACAACAGGAAAAGAGACAATTTTAGGTCCCACACAACAACCAGCCTTTTAAAACACTACTAGTTTTTGAGTTTTATTGCAGTAACAAATAATACTCAAACTTATTTGACAAAGACTATCAAAATAATCTCCCCTTATAACTGCATCTTGTGTGAAGTAAGGAATTCTGCAACTAAAAGTACATATTGTAGAAGGATGAATGAGAACCCAACTGTCTCCTCTTAAACCAGACAGTAAAGATTTTCAGACAAGTAGAATGTCTCTATTGTCATTAAATGATTTCTGGTTTTGAAAATGCAGTATTTTTTATAAAAATATGTTAATATGTTAATAGGCTTGTTATCATTATTTTTTAAAATGTTTTATTAGTACATGATAGTCAAACAGGGGGTTTCATTGTGACATTTCCCTGGTTTGGTTCATCCCCCTTATTTTCCCCTTCTTAAAATGATTTCGACAGGTTTCAATGTTCCATATTCATACATATATAGAAAGCATCTCAGCAATATTCACTCTCCTTAATCGTCTTCATTTACCTTCCTCTTCCTGCTACCCTCTCAACATGACTGGTTTTACATTCCTATACTTCATTGTTTCAGGTTCTGTTCATTGTTCAGGGGCTTTTGCCTTGGCATTTTAAATATATTGTACTTTAATAAGTCTAACCCCCTCTATTGCTCTTCCATATCTTCCCCCCACACCCTGTATTGCTTAACAGTGTTCGGTGTATTTCATTATGTTATGTCTTATTCCTACATAGATGTGATGAATTATTTTCAACAAAATAATAACTGCTTTTACATTTTCTAACATGATAAATAGCTTTAATTGCTAATATGGTAAACAGCTACAGATATAACCCAAATAAACAAAAATCGTCCAGGATGCTCAATTATTTTTAAGACTATAATGAGATGATAAGGCCACAATGGGTACACTGCTGATCACAGGGCTGTGCTCCAAAGGGTTGCTCCATCCTCACTCATTGTTCTGGCTACTTAACTGAATCCTCCCTAAATAATATATGCCTAAATACTTCCTGAAGAATAGGTCATGATCCTTTACCCATGTCATGTTGCAACACAACCATAAATTGCTAAATCTAACATTAAGAATAAAATCATGTGGCATAACAAAATTAAAAGAAGAGAAAAATGAATTTATGGAACTCAAAATAGTAAGAGATCTGCTGTCAGGAACAAAATAATTATAAGAGCCCATAAAGTCAGGTTGTAGCTTGGGAAAGTAAATGGATGTACATCCTTTAGGGAACAGGACAAAGCAAATAAAAGAAAAGCCAAATACCATTTGTCCACACAGGCAAGGAAATCCCTGCCAGCTGCTGTGAAAGCCCAGAAGCCAGCCACCAGCCAGATCTCTGCAGTCCCCAACACTGTTTGGCACCTAATACACTTATAACACAACCCAAGTCAGGCTGCCAGGAGATTATCACTGAAGAAACATGACATCAGAATAACCCAAAAAAGGGTTGTTTTATGAAATATGTAATATTTCACAAATGTGAAACCCAAAATATGACAGTGAAATGATTCTGGTTTTAAACAGAAAAATCTTGTTATAAGAAAGTAACTAAACAATTAATTATACCATTATTTATGTGGGAACACAGAAATACATATTTCCTCTTTTTCTCTCTCTACCCCCATAGAGGTATAAATATATACATACACACACAAATATATAGCATACATATACCTTATCAATCTGTCTACAGAAATGTATGTATAGGTTCACTGTGTCTCAGCATCTGTTTATTAAAACACGTGCAGTGGCTCATGGTGCCCCCACACAGCTGTCAGCATTTACATGACTTGTTCACTTAAGCGGCCACATTAATAGACCAGAACCTGACCAACATTTGGCACAAATTCAGACACATAATAAACAAATCACTCATAAAATGACTTGTATTTTAGAATAATCTTAGATTACACATGCTATGGAATTAATACAAAACAATAAACAAAAACATGTCATATATTTAACATTTTATCAGATAAAATTCTTGGCTCTCAAGAAATACTCTTACTTCAATTTTTAGATAATAATTAAAATTTCAGAAGCACTTGCTAGCTTAAGTGCTTTATTCTTTCCCAGTCCCCATTCTTCCTCTGAGTAAAATAAACTGAAGGATACAGAATTCTCAAGGAAACAATCATTTTTGAATAAGCAAGTGCTCTGCTTGATTGGGTTCATCTTTTCTATGTTGGAACCTAAGTCTTAATGCATTCTGGCCATGGTAAGTCCCTGCCTTCCAAACAAGATTCCATGACATCGTGATGTCTCAGGACATTGATATCATACACTTTCCCTTTAAGCTACTTATCCTCTTCCCATGCACGAATTATATCACAAGCACATACATGCAGGCATGGAAACTGCTAAGCAAACATAAATTACATTTTCCATGTGGCCCAAAGACAGAATGACGGATGCAGAGTAGAAGGCTGTCGATTTCACAATTGCTCTTACCCCATCCCACTTCCACACAACACCAAATACACATAAGAGAGGGAGGTTCACTGGCCTCAGAGGCTATACTGCTAGACTGCCTGTGCTGGCCCCTGACTCCAGGAGTCTCTGTTTCATCTTAATCAATGATTTCCTTCTCTGTATAATTTGCACATGGCATAAGCATCCAAAGGCTCTATTTTAAGTACCTGTGTCCTCAACATGCCTCTCACTGCTTCTTTCTTTTGACTTCTCTTTTAATTCTGTTGCAATATGCTTCTGCACCACTCTTAGACTTTGTCCTGAAGGCCTTGCTTTCTGTAGATAAGTTTTAAGCAGAAAGATCTTCCTTTCCTTATTTTTTTTTGGTAATAGTACTGGAGTTTGAACGCAGGGCCTTATGCTTGCTAGGCAGGTGCTCTACCACTATAGCCATGCCCCCAACCCTTTCTTGCGTTAGTTATTTTTCACCTAGGGCCAACCTCAGACAATGATCCTCCTATCAATGTCTCCTGTGTACCTAGGACCATAGACACACAACTACATCCCACTTACTGATTGAGATGGGGTTGCACTAATTTTTCTTGGTGCTGGCCTTGAAAGGCAATCCTTCAGATCTCTATCTGCAGAGCATCTGGGATTACAGATGCAAGTCACCAAACCCAGCCCTTCCTTTCTTTAGGGCACCCAGTAATCCACAGCCATCATAGCTGTGGATTTGTCCTTGGTTATGTGTTTCACAAGTAGTTAAGTGGTTACTTTAAGATAACACATACTAAATTGACTTCATGTCTTTCAGCTTTAGTCCCCAAATTTCCAAAATAAAACCTCCACTGCTTGTCCCTTCATTCACTTACAGTGAATGATGTATTGATTCTTTGGTTGACTTAGACTAACGCTTCTTCATTCACAATGTACTAGACAGTATGCTAGTTTTGGGGATATAATAGTTGAAAACAAGAAAGTTTCATCTTGTGGCCCTTCAGTAGGAAGCTCCAGCTATATAATTCAGTTTTATAATTTACCACATTAATACAACCTGGCCACTGAAAAATATTTTTAGAAGAGCATAAAATCATCTAGGTATTAGAATTGGGAGTTTCTTATAAGTGTTTTACAAGTACTTATTTACATGACAAACAAAATCCAGACAAAGCTCATTCAAGAATATTCAATTGTTCATTCACCCTATACTAAGGCACATCCTCTTTTACTGGAGAAACTGCATAGGAAGTAGTAAGAGGAGAAGGGACCCTCTAGGAAGTAATCCATGGCAAACAGCCACATCAAACTCATGTCCAATAAACTCCTATGGCATTCGAGCAGCATTCTCAGGACTTTTTAAGGCTACGTTTGATACAGGAAAAGAATGAAGAGGAGGCCTTCACCCTTCTGTAAAAAGTTAAGCAGTTACTCCCTATTCTACCCATTTGAGTTCTATATACAGTAAATCACAGTTAATTCACAACCAAACATTTTGAAAAATATTTCCACTTGAGGTATCTTATTTAATTTGAAAAAATATAGTTATTCAAATTCTTCTAGAATAAATGCCAATACTTTAAGGAAGACTAGATCTTAATCTCGAAGTTATTTTCAATGGGGAATGTTCCCTGTCCTGAACAATGATTTCTCTTGGTTTCTTTCAACCCCAGGTGCACACTCCATACCTGTGTGGCTCCGGATGTGAACTCTTAGTGTCCCACTGCTGGCAAATTTCTGGCCACAGTATGGGCAGACTTTCTCCTTTTCTCCTGTATGTGTCTAAACAGAAAGGAATAAAAAGGATGAGGATGAATATAAAAAATTAGGTAAAGATGATTAAGTGCCTCTGACAACAGTAAATCCTTATTTTCCAGGATTATGTTTCATTAAAATGATTTAATATCACAATGAGACTTTAAACAATTTATCATGGGTATCCCATGGGTTGAAAAAACCCTTAGAAACATGCATTAGTGTTAATTTGAAAATAATTCTGTAGTTCACTTTTTAAGCCTTTCTGGAGTCCCTATCTAAAAGTGATTAAGTTATAGAAAACCACTATATGTAAACAAATCACACAATCTGAATGGGTCTACAGCTACCCCTCTACTTGCTGTAAGAAACACTTCTTTTTAAGCATTTTCACATTCTTTTTGTGTATTTAACACTTGAAGATGGAATTAATCTCAATAAAGTCATCTGTTACTTACATTATGCTTCTCTGAACTGATTTTACTGCAAAGCAGAAAGGAAAATAAATCTGAATTGACCTTACAAATCAGCAGGTATTAATTGAGCAGTCAATCTGAAGCAGCATTTCTGTCCTCAACATCCTTTTAAACTAGACACAAAACAATAATATTGGAAAAGGTGTCATCAAAAGTGAATTTCAATAAGTATTTGAGAGTGATAGAACAATAAAGTCGCCATTTGTAAATCGGTGGCTATTTTATCCTCAGACCTCACTTGAGAAACTCCCAAGGACAGCTCCACCCTTAACAGAAATTCCCACGCTCTAAGACAGCCCCACCCCTAGCAGAGACTACCGCGCATGCGCTGACTTCCTTAACCTCCCCCTTCTACAAAAGCCATGCCTAGCCCAGAATCACCGCTGCGCCATCTTTTCCCCAGCCATCCATTAAACTTTGCTCTATGGATGTGAGACTTTTCTTGTGTGAACTTTCGTTGTGAGCAGCATTCTTCCTAACATTTGGTGCCGTGACTCAGATCAGGGTGCACTCCCAGCACTGACCTTGCACCCCTGGCCTCTGCCACTCCATCCCACTCTCTCTCTCTTTCCTCCCATTCCCTTCCTCCAGGACCAGAGCTGCTTTGCTGGAATCCCTGTTGCTAGAAAGTGCTGCTCCCTCACTAGCTCACAGGGAAGTTCCTCCACCCCAGCACGCACTTCGGCCAGTCTTCCCTCAAGGTCCTCTCTCAGTGACTCCTCTTCACACACAGAGCTGTGATCTCTTTCTCATTTCCTTGAAATCTTAGTGCTAGGTCTCGGCTCACTCCTGTCCCTGGGAACCGGGTTCCCCACTAGGGACTGTGGACCCCCATGGTGAAGATGTTCCCTCTGGGTGCTCCACATCTCTCTCTCTCCCCTGAGGACCTGATATTTTGGGGATACCTGCCACATCTCTCCTCAGGTCAGGCCTCACCATGAGAGTTGGACCATCCAAAATTCCTTCAGACTCCCCATTGGGATGTCTTCTGGCTAATCTTGGGCCCCTACGCCTCACAACTGATCTTAAGCCACAAAAGCTCATTTTTCTCTGTGATCAGGCATGGCCCCAGTACCCATTAGACAATGTCTCCAAATGGCCACATAATGGCACTTTCAATCCTAATATTTTAAGGGATTTATACAATTTCTGTGAGCATGCTGGTAAAAGAAGGAACTTCCCTACACCCAATCCTTTTCCTGTCTCCACACCAAACCCTCCCTCTGTACTTCCTGTTCCCCTGCACAGGTTCTGTTAGCCTCTAAACCAGCTTCTAAACGAACCAAATCCTCTCCCGAACCTCCTCCTTCCCCATGTAAGCAGACTTCTTACGCTGCTCAGGCTGCTTGTCTCTTCCTATCCTCCTGAGGGACTTTCCCATCATGGTGTCAAGCCACTCCTTGCCAACTTTGGTCTCAAGCAATTCCAGCTCTGGGAGAGCTCATGCTCCCTCCCTGTGGGCTGAGACCAAGCCCGGGATTTATTCAGGTATGCCTCATGCTACATCGGCGGAGTCCTGTTTGATTATGGCATCTGAAGACTGCTTCTCTCCCCCCCACAACCCGTCTAATGTCCCTTTTTCCTGAGACAGCGACTGGAGAGTGGAGGTTTCATGTTGCTGAAAGTGTTCCAGTACCAGTCAATGGGAGCGACCTAGAAACAAAGGTGATGGCTAATCCCTCAGACATGTGTCATGCCTCCAGGCTCTGCCTTCTCCTTCCTTACCTAAGATGTCAGGACACATTTTCTGCTTCCTCCATGGTCTCACCACGTGTCCTTTGTCTCTGTCTGTCTTCCCCTCTCTGGGCTTACTGGGACCCTCCATCCCATGAAAAACCTGTAGCATGGTACCTTATGACTTAAGTTATTCCAACTAGTTTACCAGGCCTCTCAGTGTAAAGTAACTTTAAATCGCTGCTAGGCAAAAGCACTTACAAAAAAAATTGTGGCTGCCATGCTAATGCCCTAACTCCAACCCCACAAGGGGAGGAGGGAAAGCAAATAGGTGCATTCCTGCACAGCAGGAATGCCTGCCATAGCTAAAAGAATCCATAGGCCAACCCAACACACATCCTAGGCCGCCAGCTGCACATGGGCTGCCACTTCCCCTAGAATAAAACATGCTCAGAGTACACAGGAAGGGGGGAGGGGTGACAGACTCACTTGTCCTGGGTGTTTGTGCAGGGGGTCGGTGCCTTGCACACGCCCTGCTCCTAGCCCCACCTCACACCTTGGGGCACCAGAACCAGCCCCTGTAAACCAATTGTTAGCTCAAAGTTATAGTCCCAGAAATCACAAAATGGACAGTATGGTACTGTTTTTGGCCTGGGATGCCCTCTGAATGCCCTTCTCTAACTTTAGAGACAATTTATTCCTTTGTTAAAAAGCCTCCTTTATTAAAGAGGCTGCCTGCTGTTAACTAAAAGGCAGGATCCTAAAGTTTTGCTCTTTCTAGATCAGATCGACACCTTCCAGTCTTCTGGCTTGTAGATGTTGGAAGATTTATACTGAGGCCTGGCCTCAGTATGCCTCGGGTGACCAAGAGAAGTGGCCTTCACAGGGTTCCTTAAATTACAAAAAAGTGAACTGAGGTCCCCTATACAAATTTCTTTCTTCTAAGTCACCCTAATATTCAGAACCTCCTAATGGGTGCTTCCCCATTCAAAAGTTAATGGTAAGAAGAGGGCAAGTCCCCCTCCAGTTATCAGATCTAAGGGAAATTTAAAAACATCTGGACAGCTATACTGATGCACCAGATCAATACAGTCAAGCCTTTATCTCGTGATCCAAACCTTTGAAATGACATGAAAGGATATATGCTTCTACTAGACCAGACTCTTTCCTCATTAGAAAAGCAATGGGTTCTGGCCCAGGCCTCTCAGGTTGGAAATGATTACCATTTACAATGAGCCCCAATACTCGTGGCACCTGGAAATGAGGGAATAAATGTGCCTACGTACAGGGGCACAGGCAGTCTCCTTGACAGATCCACACTAAAAGGGGCTGATGATATGGCTCAAGTACTGCTTTGCAGGCATAAAGTCCTGGATTCAAGTCCCAGTACAGCCAAAGGAAAGAGGAAAAACAAATTGGGGGCTAAGGATGTAGCTTAGTGGGAGAGCGTCTGCCCAGCATGTGCAAAGCCATGGGTTCAATTCCCCAGCATTGCTAAATCAAAAAAAAAAAAAAAATGGTAAGGAAGATAAGTGGCATTAATGTCACTTCAGCCATCTCATAGAGGAAGGAAGTAGTTTAACCTAGACCAGATCCCTCATTCTTCAAGTGAGGAAACTGAGGCCCAGAACAGTTCAGAGACCTGCTCTCCAGAGTGTCAGGTGTCAATGTGAAATAAAAACTTTGTTTTACAGCAACACCCTAAAAAAAAAAAAAAAAATCCCCTTACCTTTCTACAACATCTTAAGGAGACTATCAGAAAGCATACCACGATGGACCCAGAGTCACAGGTGAGAGAGGTTATCCTCAAAGATAAATTTCTAACAGTCAGCCCCAGACATTTGTAGAAAACTCAGTCTGTGGCTTAAGGAGAAAAGTCATTGGATCAACTAATACAACTAGCCATGTCTGTATACTAAGAGACATGACCTCATTGCTGCCCCCACCCGACTGGGAACTACATCTTGAGTTTGCTACCATGGTGGACAGGAGGGGCATTTCTGCAGAGAATGCTTAAGGGGGACAGCCAAGGAGACAACCCCACCCCCAACCAGGACCCTGCCCTCTCTGCAAAGATAACCACTGGAGGTCTAAGTGCCCCCCGTCTCCAGATGGAAGGCGAGATGCCACCTCCTATGGATTGATGGGTCCTGGCCTCCTGTCCACACTCCACTTCTTGGCATCGATGTTGAGGAGCCTCATGGTAGCCATTATGGCAGAAAAACAAAAGATCATTTTCCGGCTAGAAAGTGGAGCTCGTTTCTCTGTATTACCTTTCTCTCCCGGTCCCCAGTCCAATGACAAGGTTATCATTCGGGGCATATCTGGCCACCCCCTAGAGCGCTACTTTACCCAGCCTCTGGCCTGCTCTTGGGGAGACTTCCTCTTCTGTCACTCTTTCCTCATAGTACCTAAAACTCCAGTGTCCCTGCTGGGACAGGATTTACTATCTCAACTAAAAGCTCAAGTTCTCCTCCCCCCAGGCAGCTATCTCTGCTGCCCCCTTCTTCAGAAACAAAGAGATTCCACAGTGTGGACTAATGAGATGAGTGTAGGGTGAGCCAGGCTGGTCCTCCCTATTCAAATAAAACTCAAAAATCCCTCACAGTTTCCACACCCAAAACAATATCCCCTCAAGTCTAAGGAATGATGAGGCCTTATGCCTATCATAAGTTCCTTAAAAAAAAGGGGGGGGGCTACTAATTAGTCATTCCAGCTCATATAATAAATTTAAAATTCTTATAAAAGTTAATTTTAAAATACAAGTTACAAGTAAACAAGTAGAAAGGATATAGATAGGTAGTGAATGTATTTTTTGAGAAGTTAAAAAAAAAAAAGGAATGTTTTTAGATGAGAAAGATTTTTTAAAGAAGGGTTTGTCCTAAAGATTGTTTCAAGTAGGAGGGATAAAGACAAGCCATCAAAGAGTTTAGTATGTTATATAAAGGTCTGAGTAAGTTTCAAAAGTGTGTAACAAAAAGTTTCAGTGTGTAATAAAGTTAAAGTTGAGTATAATCTAAGAGTTGCCTAAAAGATTTTTAGGGTCATGTCAAACTAAAATCAAATTCTCTATGTCTACAAAATAACAAGGTTATCTTAATATTGTTCTGCTCTGAGTAACATCCACAAAAAAATCATTACAGGGGAAGATTTTATCAAAAACATTATTTGTGTTTTCTGCTGATCTTGTCAAGCTTTAAGTACTACTAAATCAGAGTTCAATTACATATTTGCTTATGTGTCTTAAATGACCACCTTGTAACAGCGTTGTGTCTATACTTTAAATATGGTACAAACATTTACAAAGTTAAAAATGAGCTAGAGCTCTCTTTTATCCAAGAGTGTTACATTTAAATCCTGACAGCCCCTGCCTCCCACAGGTCACCTACCTAGGTGTGGCCTTAAAGAGACAGACTCACTCCCTGAGTCATGAGTGCATCAACCCAATCTTCTGTTTCCCTCCCCCCCCATACCATAAAACAGCTTACAGCTTTCTTGGGAGTTACAGGATTTTGCAAAATTCAGATCCCTAGGTATGCAGTCCCTTAGCAGACACCTTTTTATGTTCCTCCTAATATTCCTATGTGGGTCTTAAAAAATGTATGGCCACCCATTTCTCTTAGAAAATTTTCCTCCAAGAGACTCTGCTCCTCTGGTTGACTACCTGCCTTACCTTAACCTTCTCAGGGAACTTCTCATAGAGCATGCAGACCAAACCCTGCCCCACCCTATAACAATTTCTGTCAAACCAGGGGATGTTGTTCTCCTAAAGGATATTCTACCCTCTCCATTGGGACTTTGATGGACCAGCACTCATCAGGTCATTCTCATGACACCCACTGCTGTCAAGCTCAATGGGTTTCCCCAGTGGCGGCACCTCTCAAAGAACAGTTAAAATGGAGAAGGGAACTGGAGGACCCTTGAAATTGTCTAGGGAACAACATTTCACAGTGGTTCTCCTGGCCAATGCCCATCCTAATGCCTATGTTTCTTGCTCTCCTATTCTTAAGCTTCCTCCCTTGTATCATACTACATGTCTGCTATTGCTAATCAAAAGTTTAAGCAGTTGTACCTCCAGGGATATCAACCTACCAGGATGCAGGAGTCTGAGGATCTTGCCCCATACAGTGCCCCCTGCCAGAAGGAAGCAGCTAAGAGGCTGATGCTTCGTCCCAATTCCCAATCCTCAGCCCCTATTGACATCATTGTTAAAGAAATAAATGGGGGAATGATAGAACAATAATGTCGCCATTTATAAATCGACGGCCATTTTATCCTCAGACCTCATCTGAGAAACTCCCAAGGATAGCCCCGCCCTAACAGAAATTCCTCACTCTAAGACAGCCCCCCCCACCAGAGAGTACTGTGCATGAGCTAACTTCCTTAACCTCCCCCTTCTATAAAAGGCACGCCTGGCCCAGATTCATGGCTGCACCATCTTTTCCCCAGCCAGCCTTGCAGTTTGAGCCTGCCATTAAACTTTGCTCTATGGACGTGAGACTTTTTTCATGAGCTTTCTTTGTGAGTGGTGTTTTTCCTAACAAAGAGTTTAAAAAAACAGTGACCACTCCAGGACAAGGGGCAGATGTAGTGTTCTAAACTAGCTTACAGTCTTATCAGGAGAACAGGTTTTCTACTAACACCAAAATGATTATTTCAACAAATAAAGAGTCAGAGTTATGGGTCAACCTCCAGTTTCTCAAACTTAAGAGAAAGTAGGGAAAAACCAAAAGGGGATGACTAGGCAATTCCTTCAGGTATCTACGCATTCTCTATGAGCTGGGTTTCCATTATGACAGGATGCTCCCAGGGCCTGTGTCTGAATTTGTTCATATGCAAATTACTGCTGGTATTGTTATTTGAATTGCTGTGGACAAACAAAAAAGGGATAGAAGAGGGTTTTTAAAAATGAGCTAGAGAGAAGTACTTGAAGGAAACCCCCACTCCCACACCCCCTGCAGTTACCTTACCAACTGGCAACTTCAAAGACATTCACATAGCAACATGCTCTCATCTTCCACACTAAGTCCATAATTTATTTAAATATAATTAGTTGATAGCCATATTGTATTTAATTTGAAAATTAGTATATGTACATTATAATCTACATTTGGATGTGTACAACCATATTTGTGATTTTTGTAAGAGCTATATGAACTAAATACCTTAGGCAACATCACATAATTTAGTCCTACAGAATTTTTTTTCCCTTGAAAAGACTTATACTACACTCAAACTGGAGAAACATGTTCTAATCAACTGCTGCACTAGCTAGCCAATGACACTGTCTACAACATGCATCCCTGAGGCAGGACAGATAGAGGAGGAGATAGGGAAATTACATTTTAACAAGTATTTAAAGGGTCAGACTCTGACACTGGAACAGGAAGTAAATACTGAAGAGACACAGCAGCTAGCCTCCCCCCATCTCCTTTTAGATGCTAAGTTACTGGAACAAGGAGACAAAAAGGAGCTAACCGCTTCTACTTTCCTGTTTGAAGTGTTAACAAGCTGCAAGGATCCTTGGGTGGGTGGAGAATAACCATGTCTAGCAAAGTAAAGATCTAAAGCACAGATACTGTCTGTGTTTTGGGTAGGTCAGGATGACCCCTTCCCATTTTAACAGCTCTCAGCCACCCAGGTCCATTATCTTTGACCATGCACATTCCCCTACTTCTCTAGTGTAAGACTAAGAGATGGGGCCACCATCTGGAGTCTTTATTCCTATTTCCTACATGGGGACAGGAAAGGTTTCTCTCTCTTTTTCTCCTCCCTCCTTTATCTTTACTTTACTCTGTTATACTAAAATAAATCCTTGCTACTTCTATCTTGTGAAGACACCTTGAAATGCTTTTCATGTTTGTGGATCTCAAGGAACTGTGGTTTTTGCATGGAAACTAGAAGCTGTGAGAGCCCCCTCATCCATCCTCCAGTGATATCCCCTTTGAAGGACTGAAGGACAGACAGCGGGAAGTCCCAAAAGGGCGATAAGTGGTCAAGGAGACACTTCTCCTCCCTAGGAAATGCCTGTTTGCATCTGAAAGGCATCTCCACCCTCAGGCAATGCAAATAGGCTATAAAACCCCACTCCCCACCCTGGCCCACGGGATCACCGGTTTCCGGGTCCCCCTGCATTCTCCAATATGCAGTCTTTCTCTTCTCTTCAACTAAATTCTCTGCAAATAAAATCTTTCCGACCTCTGCTGTTGGAGTCTGCCTGTGCTTTCATTCTCAGAGCAGGCTCAAGAACCCTGAGCATCTGAAATTCCTGCACATGTCATCCGTGCATCACCTTGATTCTGAACTTGGCAGGCACTTCACTTTCCATTTATACTACAAACTCTTAGACAAGAGTTATAAATCTTTACACCCCATTAAGAGGCTTTACTCTCCTGGTGCGTATTACATACAGTTCAATTTAAAGTAAAAGGAATGACATTTTAACACATAGCAGATCTATCTTCTTTTCACTCCCTTACAGAAGGGGCAAAATATGGCAATTGTTTCTTGATTATTGTAGTATTTTTTAGAAATTATATTTCTCTATTACTATAACAGATTATTACAAATAGGTACCATCTTTTTTCTGTAATATTGTAATAAAATCCACAGGATTACTTTTGCAGCTATCTAATTATTTCATTGTTCATTTATATAAATACATGTCAGTGTTAGAACTCATCTGAAGGCTGGTCTAGCGTGGTGCCACAGGACTGTAATCCCAGCTACCTAGGAAACAGAGTTCTGGAGGATCCCAGTCTGATGCCTGGACAAAAACTCATTGACTCTGTCCAAAAAATAACTAATGCCAAATGATTCAAGTGGTAGAGTACCTGCCTAGCCAATGTGTGAACACATGGTGCAGTCTGTGATCAGAAGACTTCTAAATTCTTTGTGTCCCACACGAATTATGGTGCACATAAACATGTCTATTAGCTATAAAAAAAATGAAGTTATTAAGGCACTATTTGTATCTTTTAAAGAAATAACCTACATTAATCAAAAAACTACAAAAATTGACAAGCTCTTATTCACTGAGTATTTTCTACAGCCTATGTATCAGTGTAGCTAAGCATTTTTGGAAAGGTTCTGCTTCATGAAAAAACTATGCTGTTCTGAAAAAAATGGAGTAAACGGGTATTTTCTGAAGAGATGATATATTTTTCAGTAAATATATTGATGAATCAATAAAAAACAATCATATAATAGATAACATATATGCCAGTATTCTTTCAACTGGTAATCTACTCAAACTCACAGATTTCTACTTACCTTTTTATGACTTCTAAGCACTGATGGTGTAACAAATGCCTTATTGCACAGCTCACATCTGTACTTCTTGTGTCTCTCATGGACCACCTGGACATGAACGTTTAATGTGTCCTTCCTTTTAAAGGTAGCATCACAGTGATGACACTTGAAAGTCCTCTCACCTTAGAAACAAAGAGTCAAGGAAGAGAAACACAGAATGCAATACCATGATCCTATTAACTCCCCCTCATCAAATTAACAAATTATCATAACCACAAAAGCTTATTTTTTCTCAAAAAAGCCCAGTTCCAAATTTGCTAATTCACTGCTGTTATGACCTGGGAAAGTCCTTTAACCTTCTAACATTCTCAATCTTCTCAAATGGAAAATGTGGGAACTGGATTAGTTTATTTTCTAACATTATTGTGAACATTTCTTAAAGTATGTGTATGTAGGCAGGCGCCAGTGTTTGAGATAAGTAGACTCTTGCAGTGACATAAGGCCTCTGTCATGATGAGCTGCCTTTGGAGCCCCTCCTAAACTCCCCAGAAATCCCACCATGGTCCCCGTGGCCCCCGGAAATAGACACAGGCAGAATAGGTCATAGGTGAACTGGGGGAAAGCCTCAAGGGCTTAACGATACATCAAAGTAGCCTGTCAATCTAGAGCAGGAGAGGGGAAGTATAGCACCTCATCTTCTCTTGGCACTATCTCAGAACCTGGACTTGAGGTGCTCCAACTTGACCCTTGAGCTACAGTGAAACAGTTTCCCAGACCCTCTGAGAGGCAGTCTAGGACAGGGGAATGCAGAATGGCAACCACTATCTTCTACCCTACAAGCCGTGGGGGAACATAAGGGTTTTCACCTCATTTTCTGGCCTAGGCCTAAGGGCGAAGATGCTCTCTGTGTAGCTTTCCTTAACACATTTGCCTGTTTTGATGATCTGGTTTAAATATAATTTGTTATACATGTGCATAATTAGAAGATAATGTTTTATAATAGAACATTATAAAACATGTATAGTGCATGATTACATGAGTAAAACTCCTGTTTGAGCACATTTCCCTTTATTAGGAAATAATTACATTAGCATAGGTTTATATCACATTGACTACAAAGTATAATATAGAAATACTAAATTTCTATGTCTATGAGGTTGAAACAAGATTATCTCATTTTCAACCAAAGTCTTTGAACTTCTTTCCATTTTTAACTAGCATTATTTTCAGAAACTGAAAGACCCCAGGATTCCTTCATGCTAAATTTAAGGAAGAAGGGAAGGAGGGAGGGAGAGAGGAGGAAGAAGGAAAAAGAAACAAGAAAATTACCTTCCTTTTATCTTTTCAAAGAGAATTCTGCTCTCTATTTAAAGACTTCTAGAGTACTATTGACATTTGATGCTGATAACAAAGCCACATCCAAAATACACGAACTAAACTATGAGGAAGCTGAGAGCTTTGCTTATTTGTTACCTGTGTTCATTTTTGTTACAGGACAATACTCCTGTAAACTACTTTTTGCTTATCTTTTTATATTTACTTAAACAATCCATTTGTACTATATGCATAAATAATGAGAATAGAAGAAAATATCAGTTGACATAGTATTATGTCATAGTATTATGAAGGTTAACAATATCAAATCTATTCAGGAACTGAAAAGCATTTTTTTTTAAATCCCTTTGAGATTGTTCCTTCCAAACATTTTCATAAAACTATCAGGTTAATTAGAATGTTGGTTCATATACAGTAACTTTATCAGCTAAATAGCAAGGAAATACTTACCTTCTTCTTTCATATTTTAATTTCAAATTTCTTTGTCTTAAATTTATCAGAATGTTTTAAATTATTTTTTTATTATTTTTACATTTATTATATGTGTATACATTATTTGGGCTACCTCCCTGCCCCTCCTGGGAAGAAACTCTTGTTCTCTGACTTCGTTGAAGAGAAAACATAAGAGATAAAAAGAAAAACACAGAGTTTTGGCTATAGTTTGCTATACAGAGAGATTCCTAGTGTTGTTACCATGCATATGTGTATTACACATTATTATAAAATTCTGACATGAAATTTTATCTGATTTCTTTGTCTTAAGCTGATAAGAATTTTTCCCTATTTGAATAGCAAGAAGCAAGCCAACAATAAGCTTATGTTTTCAGTGTAGAAAAGGAATATAGGAATAATTTTCAAAGTAATTAAGACAACTCATTGATATTCTGAGTCAGAATGTAGTGTAGATGTAAGTTTCTAATAAGAGCCTTCATATCTTAAAGTGAAATGGGTTTTTATTTTCAAATTGTGTGAGACAAGACCTAACATTTTATCTTCTCTACTTAAGCCATTTCTTATTGTCCCATTCTTCATGTTCACTGGTCTTCATTGATTCCTCACTTTACACTAAATAAATTATTTGGTCTCTCAATTAGTAACATTGATTTTCTTGGCCAAATACCATGGTAAGCTTCATCAAGCTTATCTCTGACTAATGTGCCAATCAACACTGTACTGTATTAAATGTGTGACCCACAGCACAGTCCATATGCAGTCACTTCAATACTGTCTCTCAACCTGGTGAGAACCAGTAAGCTGAAATCAAAAGCAGTGCATTCCTTCTGTCATGAATTCCTTGCTAATATACAAAATAAACTTTGTACAACTTTTTTCAGAAAAAAAAGTCCTGAGCATCAGGCCAAATTTAGCCATATAAATCTTACTAGGATGAATGAGGTTCACTTGTCTAAATCCCTATTCTAAAATCTTTTCATTGCAATAGGATGAAAACATTCTTGCTGTTGCACAACAAATCTTATTTCTTAAACTCACTCTTGTTCTTTATAAGGAAATGAAAGTTGGGGTAACAACTTCTCCAAAGCATAATACAGTCTTTTCCTATAGGAAGCATACTGCATTTCAACATAATCATTACCACTCAGAATTTATAAAAATCTTTAATGTCTTTTTTAAACACTTCAACTTTACCAGAGAAATTTCATCTAAGGTAGTGTTTTGCATGGCCATTTGTCAAGAGTGACTAACTGTCTTGCTTTCCTCAGAAATTTAATATTTAAACAGTAATAGAAACTTTACGTGTGTACAGAATTTTATGCTCACTGAACATCTCAAATTAAAAATATTTTAATTTTTGATACAATAGTGCAGAAAATCTCTAGCTACCTCAACATCTGAATGGAAAACTCTTTTTTTTTTTTTTTTTTTTGCAGTACTGGGGCTTGAACTCAGAGCCTACACCTTGAGCCAGTCCATGAGCCCTTTTGTGTTAGCTATTTTCGAGACAGAGTCTTGAGATCTATTTGCCCGGGCTGGCTTTGAACCATGATCCCCCATCTCTGCTTCCTGAGTAGCTAGGATTACAGGCATGAGTCAGTGGCACCTGGCTGAGAACTCATTTTAAAACTCAGCTCAACAATAATACATTTCCTCTTCTCTATGAAGTGATATACTTCAGTCATGTTGCTATAAATTGTGTGGTATACTACAAATAGCGCTTAATACATCTATTAAGACATTTGTAGTGTGCTGTGTAGAACTTAATCCAACATTTTAAAAAATTTCTCTGCCAAGATAAGTAAGAAATTAGAGGCATGTTAAGTAGAAGCCTGGATGCTAATAGTCAGCATCCCAAATGCATCATGATGCTTCTCCAAGTTTCAGTATTCTCAATTCCTCTCCAAAAAAAGTGTTAAATTAGATGTGCAGTCTGTAAGCTAATAAAATCATTTCAGATAGCCCCATGGTTCACTGAGGTAGACATGTTTCCTTAATTATCCCAGGGAAAAGAGAACAAAAACATCTGTTTCAAAACAAAGCTCAAACATGCCTTACTGAATCTAGGGTATGTTTTCATATACAAACTACCAATACTGGGAAGAAAAAATACCTCACAGAAGAATTTTACTGTGGGAAAATAAAGTAACAATATAGGAAGAAAAGGTAAAAGGCAGAATGATCAATCCATTTTAATATTTAAAAGTTTATCTAACCACTCATAGATACACTTCTGGGATGACTAAAATTCCAAAGATTCTAAGAACAAAATGTGAGGTAATTCTATCTATTCTCAACCACCTGAACTGTAACTTACTGTTGTGTATCAGCAAGTGTCTTTGCAAAGAAAATGGAGTCCGGAATAAAGCTTTACACTCATCACATTGGAAAGGTCTCTCCTCAGAGTGTGTCTGCAGAGGAAAGACACTGAGTCAGAAGAGTGACAATCAACTCATCAAAACAGTCTTCTACCATATAAAGGTAAATACAAACATGATGCCTTCATAAGTTGCCTTTGATAGCCACACTGTCAAACTCTCACATTAATAAGAAAGTTGATAGCAAAAACCCTTGGTCCTTCCTATTATTGCTTATACTCTTTCTTCAACAAAATTAGAGATAAGGGCAAAACAGTTTCTGCCTGGTAGCCAGGGGGTGGAGGAGTTGAGGGAGGGGGCAGGGTAGATAAGGGAGGGGGCGGGAGAAGGGGGGAGAAATGACCCAAACATTGTATGCACATATGAATGAAAGAAAAAAAATAAGAAAGTTGATAAATACCAAAGGAAATTGTTCTTCCTATCCCAATCTACTAATCTAAATACACAGTGACATTTCTCTGGATCAACTTGCAGAACAAAATGGTGTGCAACTCCTCTAAAAACTAAACCTCCTATAGTACTGTCCAGGTTTGAACTCTACTAAGACATTTCCAACATAGGTGAGGGAAACAGTCAAAAGATTTCTAGCCTTTTCCCTAAAACCTCACTGAATAATTTTAGTATTTTTTAGCCTAGCTCCTAAATTATACTATAAAGCATTTACTTATGGTATAATTAACCTAGGTAACATTAAAAAATATTTAATTTATGCCAAATGCTATGCTAAACATTTTACCAGAATTATTTCATTTAATGCCAGTAGTAACTCAGTGGATAAAATACAGATAAGAAAACTAAGGCTTGAAAAGTTTCAGTGACTTGTCAAAGGTCAAACAGCATAGATGCAGCAGACACTATTAAGCTCTTAGACACGTGACAAACAAAAATATATTAATATAAGTGAAACAAAGGCCAGCTACCAGCTAGATCTAGAACTGAAAAAACAAAACAGAAAATACAGGAAAAGGGTGTTCGATTCAACTGTTTTCAATTTTACATCAGTATAAGCCCATCTGGCACAAGTCAGTGAACACAATCTTATTCAACTGTGGATGGCAGGAATAAGGCTGACAAATGTGGAAAAACATCTACCAAAAACATGCTCATATACCAGAAAAAATATGAGCAAATTTTAAAGTAATGACTGAATGGGGAAATACTTCCTAAATATGAAAAAACTAGACACTGAGATTATAAAATAGATTTAAAACTTCTGCTTTGCAAGTGTGAAGCCCTGAGTCCATTCCCTAGTCCCACCAAAAAAACAAAAAACAAACAAACAAAAAAAAAACTGCAAAGCAAAAATCTCTGGTGTCAAGCAAAGAAAGTATTTATAACATAAAACAAATATTTATATTTGTTTATATTAACATTGCTAATATTAAGAGGTATGGCACATTAACAAGAAAAGACAAAACTCCAAAAAGAAAATCAATAAAAGGACAGCCCTCCTAAAATTTCATTCATCATATCATTTTGTGCCAGGTCTATGCTATGTACTTCATGGTACTATTTACTACCTCCATTTCAGATGCTGTGATATAGCAGTGAACAAAAGAAGACAAAGTTCCTGCTGTGAAGGGGTTTTTTAATACTGGTAGAGAAAGAATAATAATAAGCAAATGATAAACTATTATATTGGGAAGTGATACACGCTATGAAGAAAAATAAAGAAGGAAAGGATGGACATTACTGTCCATGCTGTTTCACAGAATGGGCAGTAATTTTCAATGGTAAATCAAAGGAATTCTAAGGTGACATCTGAGGGAAGACCTAATGGCTATGATAGAACAAAGGTAGGTATTAGAGCAATCAATTCAGGAGCCACCAGGGAGACCAGTGTTATCAGGGCCACATGAGAGGCAATGGAGGAGGAGAGAAATTGGAAAACTAAGGGAAACAAATCATGACAGGCCAGGGTGGTGACTGCAGAATTTTGTCTTTTATTCTAAAAGAGATGTAAAAATCTCTAAAGCATTTGGAGATGAGTAGCATGTCTCACTTGACATATTGCAGGAGGCTATGACAACAATACTGAGAACAGATGTAGGGGAAAGGAGAGAAACCAGAGAAGCTGCAGCAATAAACCAAGCAAGAGGTAGTTATGTTGATACCTAGTAGTAGCTGCAAATGTGAAGAGAAGTAGTAGGATATCTTAAGAAAGTCAACAAGTTTTATGGAGGGACTTAAATATGAAGCATGAGACACACAAAGGATGAAGGGACCTTGACTTCAAGATTTGCAACTCTAGCAGTGCAGGGATGAATTGGCTATTAAGCAAATACATGAAAGCGCTGGTGTGAAACAAATATGGGGGGTAGATACGAGATTCAGTTTGGATTACAAGGTATCTGGATTACATAGGTATTAATACTTAGTTCATGGATAAAATGCAAGAATGAAAATTTAAAAACAAACAGTATTGGTTATCTATCAGATTGTCAAACATGAATAAAATGGTTATCATTCAGTGCTGGGTAATAACAAAGCAATCCTGCATACTGTCCTGGGGAATGTCAATTGTCTGAGTGGCAGTGTTGCACCTGTTTCTAAACTACAGATGTGTAAACCCACTGACTAATTAATTGTATTTATAAAAATACATCCTACAAGTTTTTAAACAGAATTTTTTTAAAAGAGGAAAACTCCTAAATGACCATAAAAAAAAATGTAGTTAATTATAGTGGTTGTAGTAGTTACATATTTATTTTATTTGTAAGTAAAATCATCCATAACATATTCTGAGTGTCAAAAGTAGAAAGCAAAGCATGTATACAATACCATTTAAGCCATATATATTTACTCACATAGAATGGAATCTGGGAACATGTTCTACAAGACATTAAAGAGGGTTTTCATAGGAAAGAAGAGAGAGAGATTTGACACAATGTTTGCACTCTTTTCTATATCTTTCTTTGACGTTTGAACTTCCAACTAGGTGATACTATTATTAAAAAAAAACACCTAGTTTTGTTTTTAGAGCAATCAAATTGGAACACAGAATTTCTTTAATCTTCAAAAAAATACTATATCCTTGCCTCATTCATCCTTTTTCTTTTTCAAATCTAGAACAAAAACTTCTGTAATTCACGTATTGTCCTTAAGCCAGTTAGCATATTTTAGGTAGTAAACTACAAAAGAGGTACTAACACCACCATTCCATCTGGGTTAGGATGGCATGACTTGGGGAAAACTTCAGCAGAAAATCCATATGCTGAATCAATAGGAAAACCCTGAGAGGCCTTCTCATTTAAGAAAAGTGGTAGTAAAATGCTTGCATGTTATGGATACAGAATTTCTGTGTCTATGATATAGTTTACAAGTACCAGATGAAATTAAGCTTTTTAAAAGCTGCCTTATCCTTCAAATTTTCATCTCTAAAAGGTGCCAAACTTTTCAATGATTTATTAATCAAATGATCCTTGAGCTACAGAACAGCCCCTATCCAAATGCCAAGTCTGATGACACAATACCTGCCAATGTAACAAATAAACTACTCCATGAACAAGTACTGTGAAATATTATCTTCTCATATACTACTTCTTTTTCTACCCCAAGTATGATTACTGTTACAGATGTAGAAAATGTGGAAGAAAATGTGTTGCATTATTTATAGCAACCAAGTATCTCAAAAATGGAGATGTGGTTCAAGTGGTAGAGTGGCTGCTTTGCAAGGACAAAGTTCTGAGTTCAAACCCTAGTCCGTAAACAAACAAACAAAATGCTTCAGAAGACTTTCAGCATAATGTTTATAATGTATAACAAATTAGTGCAATTCTAGCCACAAGGAACAAATATTATTTTCATGACAGTAGAATAAAGTTTTCTTCTTCATCAAGGCCATTCACAATTAAAATTTATAACCTTCAATTTCAATATATATATATATATATATATATATATATATATATATACTAAACAGTAACATAGTAACAGTATTTACTAGTAATGGTATTTTTTCTTTGAGTGCTATAAGATGCAGGAAAACTATCATAAAACCAGGAAAAATAACTAAACATAAATTAATTTTGAGTAAATATTCCAGAGAAATGCTTGTTAGAATTATTCTTTAAAAAGAAAGAGTTTTGATACTGAAGATTCAACCCTGCATATCATAAGCACATTATTATCCATCCTATTGGGCCATATAATAATCCTAAGGCTATAAATATGTGTACAATGTCTATGATTAAAATTTTACTGTCAACTTTATAACTGGCATCTTTAAAAGGCCTCCTCAGAAAAATGAATCAAAGTTAGTGATATACTGAAGAATTCAGTTCCTTTAAGTAGAGTAATGGTTTGCTCACTCTACCCAGAGAAGTATGATTTTGGTGATGTTCCCACAGAACTATGCTAAACCCAATCTCTCCACTGCTTGAAAGTCATAACTTCATTAGAACAAAGCCAGATTCCCATGGAGCCAACTACTGAGTCCCCACAGAGTTAGCTATGCCCTAATCAGGGCAAAAGGAATTTGCTAAGAGAACGAATAACATACTTTCAGAAAAAAAGAACATAACATTTTAGATTCCTGCTCAAGAACTTTCTTTCTGCAACACTGCTAAGAAATAACATTGCACATCTCTAAAAAAGAATGCTTCTAACACACCACACTGCTTTGAACACAAACATCACCTCCCAGGCTGCCTGACTGGACCATTAATTGAAAAGTTTTGTCTCTTTACAATGGCCAGCATTTATTACAGCCAACCCAAATCCATCTGGAACAATGGTCTCTTCCACAATGAAGCTCTCTAAAAATATGGAAGCAGCAACCAACTCACTTCACAGAACTGTTCAGATAATAAACATCCTTAGCTACCACTCATGAAGATATAGTTCTCACAATCATTACAACTATCAAAGAGGAGAGTTTTCTGCATAAAAATAGACACCCTAATTTTAATAACTCATATGTTATAACTCATAGTTCCTCTAGCACAAGTGGATAATTTGTTTCCTTAGAAGAATGGCTAAGTACAATGGGTAATTTTTCATTGAGACTTGTGTGTTATCCATAGAGAAACAGG